CCAGCTGCTGCTTGCCAAAAACATCCTCAGAACAAGAGGGACTAGCCCAAGAGGGAAAGGCCTAGCAGGTATGGTGAAAGAGGGGCAGGGGGGCTGGGCGTGGCGGCTCACACCTGTAATCACAGCACTTTGGGAGGCTGAGGCAGGTGGATTGCTTAAGCTCAGGAGTTTGAGCAGCCTGGGCAACATGGCAAAACCCTGTCTCTACTAAAAATAGAAAATAAAATAAATAAATAAAATAGCTGGGTGGTGGCATGCATCTGTGGTCCCAGCTACTAAGGAGGCTGACGTGAGAGGATCACTTGAGCCTGTGAGGCGGAGGTTGCAGTGAGCTGAGATTGCACCAGTGCACTCCAGCCTGGGTCTCAAAAAAACAAAAAGAGAGGGGAGAGGTTGGCAGGGGAAGGGGCCGGAGAGTGAGCCTGCTACAGTCCATTTCTCTCTCTGCCCCAGTATCACCCAGACAGGTGCCTGTGTGTCCTGCTCTCCTCCAGTCATCACAAGTTGGACAGCTGACTGGAGGCAAGGTGACCTACTAAGTCACCAGCTCCTGAACTGAGATTCCATTGCTTGGAGCCTGGCAGTTGCTAACAATAGAGTCTCCAATGTGTAGATGGCAACCAGGGTTGGCCCTGGCCTGCAGCAAGGTACAGCTGGCCAGGTGGACAGACGCTGAGAGCAGCGGGGGAATAGAGACAGAAGAAAATACTCCAGCTTGGTCCCCAGATGCTCCAGCAGGGCCACATTCCATATGCAAACAGGTGCCAGGCCTGCAGGTTATAGTTTACTGATCCTAGCTTTAGTGGACAATAAAATGTAAAATATTTTGTTTTGGTGGATGTGATGGTTTTAAACTATACCCACAAAGTCTTTCACATTCTTCCCTTTAAAAAGGTAGAACTTAATTCCTCCCCTCTTGAGCGTAGGCTAGACTTAGTGACTCACTTCTAATGACTAGAATGTGGTAAAAGTAATGGTGTGTGGCTTCTGAGTCTAGGTCTTCACTCTCTATCAGTTCACTCACTCTAGGAAGTCAGCTGCCATGTCATGACGATGCTCAAGCAGCCTTGTGGAAAAGCTTCACGAGGAAAGGAACTGAGGCCTCCTGTCAACAGCCATGAGAGCGGGCCGTCTTTAAAGCAGATCTTCCAGCCCCGGTCAATCCTTCAGATGACGGCAGCCCCTGTGGACATCTTGACCACAACTTCGTGAGACCCTAAGCCAGAAACACTCAGCTAAAATGCCCCGGATTTCTGACTCTCAGAAACTGTGAGATAATAAATGTTTGTTATTCTAAACTGTTACGCCTGGGGGTAACTTGTTATGCAGCAATAAATAACCAAGACAGTGGATTTTTATAAGGCACTTATAAAAATCAGTCTTAACTTCTGGTGCCATCTGGTGTCCATGTTCAGCTGCCTCCTTGAATATGCCCTTGGATATCTCACACATATCTGAAAGAAACATGATGTTCTCCAAACTTGCTCCTTTAGAATCTGTCCATCTTGGGCCTCCCTTAATTCCACACCTCAGGAATGACTCCATCATAATCTAGAAGATCTAGAAGTTGATTCTTTTTTTTTTTTTTTTGAGATAAAGTCTCACTCTGTCACCCAGGCTGGAGTTCAGTGGCACAATCTTGGCTCACTGCAAACTTCACTTCCTGGGTTCAAGCAAACTTCACTTCCTGGGTTCAAGCAATTCTCCTTCCTCAGCCTCCTGAGTAGCTGGGATTACAGGCACAAGCCACCATATCTGGCTACTTTTTGTATTTTTAGTAGAGATGGGGTTTCACCATGTTGACCAGGCTGGTGTTGAACTCCTGACCTCAGGTGATCTGCCCGCCTCGGCATCTGAAAGTGCTGGGATTACAGGTATGAGCCACCACGCTCAGCCAGAAGTCACTTCTTTTGCTTCGTTTCCTCACTCTGCCCACCCACTATGCAGACGGCATGCACACACATGCACGTGTGCACACACGTTCATCCACACATCCAGTTATCACCTACATCTTAGAGGGCATGCATTTCTCACCACCAATTAGTGTCACGCCTTGCCTCAGTTGTGGAAAGGCCTCCTAACTGGTCTCCTGGCTTCCCAATCAACTCCATCCAAACCATCTTCTAGTCAATAGTGAGAGTCACTTTCCAGTGAGAACTAGATCATGCCACCACCTGGCACAAATCCCCCCGAGGCCTGCCTTTGAAATGACAATGAGATCCCAGCTTTCCACAAAGGCAGTGAGCCCCTGGCATGGTCTGCCCTCAGCCAGCCCATCCCGCCTCATACTCCTGCTCCCCTCCTCAGTGCTTGTCCACCCCTTGCCTCTTCCCCCTCAGAGCTCAGCACACACTGCTCCCTTAGCCTAGAACATTCCTCCCCCAGTCACATGGCTTCCTCCCCACACCCCTGGAACCCACCTTAAATGTTTCTCCTGTCCCGCCTTCCCGGCCTCCTCATCTAAAGTAAACCCACCTGTTATTTTATTTCTCAGTCTACTGTTTATTTACATCACAACACTTAATGAAGTTAAAGTATTTGATCCATTATATTTTATATGTCCATGGACCAAGCCATAGACGAGCCACAGTTTACTGACAGGAGCAGCCACCTGGGAGTCCCCAGACTTGGGTTCACAGCCTGGTCCCCATGAGTTCAGCTGAGCAGGTCATTTGTAGCATATGATGGGAACTGGAGGGGCCTCTCCATCATCTTGTCCAAGCCCTTGCAGAGAGAGGTGTGCTATGGCCATCAAATGAGGGGTTTTGAGTAGTCCAAGGGCTACAGATGCCAGTCTCCTGCTTCTGAACCTCAACACAGAAACTGTGTGTGCTGAGCCAGCGTACTTAGTGTGTATTTCTGTTTTTCAATGCCTAGGAACCCTAAGTGACATTTATGGGTGCTCATAAAATGCAGACAGACAGAAGCTTTGTCCATGCCTCCAAGTTCCCAATCTAGAGGGGAGAGCATCAAAGGATATCTTTCAGCGCAGCACGTTCATTAGACAACAGAGGCTGAACCAACCCCTGTAGGAGCCAAAAGAGAAAGGGTAGGGGAAGCAGTTGGGAGAGTCCCGCCCGGACCTTGAGGAACGGGAAAGGGCTAACAGTGCAGGTTTGACTGAATAACTTTCCACGCCCCACTCCCCAACCCAGTTATATCAGAACCACTTGACAGAGCCATCCACTTTACAGTCATCCACTCTACAGAGCCATCCGCTTCCAGAGCCAGAGGGCATGACTGGAAAAACATGTCCCCTGGCACCAGGGCAGTAGTCTCCACTCAGAAGTCATATGCTAGGGGGAGGGGGGCTTTCCAGTCATCTAGTCCTCTCCCTTCTTGTCAAATGACACTGGGTTGCTGGGTGGGAGGTGTGGAGCGGGTGCAGGGTTAACCCCTCAGAGCATCCTAAGAAGGATCTAGGGGAGTCTGGGAGGAGAGTCACCTCATCATGCAGGTGCCAAGCCATTCTTGGTGCTCCCTCTGTGAGGCTGGGAGGGGGACAGGAGCAAGAGATGGAGCAGGAGAGGAGGACAAAGCTAATGCCAGAGGTCACCTGAACCAGCCATGCAGAGAGAGGCTCTCTTCTCCACACCTGCCTCTCAGAGCTCCCCTCCACGGCGCCCTTCCAGGTGTGTCATCAATGTGAGGAAAACCTCTATCATCAGCCTTGCTGCATCCAAGAGAACAACTGTAACCCATGGGAATTTCTGGGGGCACCAAGATACAATGGGCAATAATATGACAACCAAGGATCTTTGGTGACTCACAAATTCCATTCTATCCTCACTTAAGGCCACTGCCTGGACACCAGGGTTGGGATGAACGAATGAGTTTTCTGATAGAAATGGAGGTAAATAGGGAGCTAAATAGTCAAGTAAGGTCAGAATAGTCAGCCAAATCCTGAATTAAATGACATTTATGCCACATGATCACAGTTTCCCTGGGGACATCTGATTAATTTTATTGTAATTTGTTAAGCTACAAAATTCAGCCAGGGGAGGCAGAGGGTCCAAACGGGATTAAGAGGGCAGTTCCAGGGCCAAGTTGCCTGGGCTGGAGCCCTGCCTACCTACTCTCTGGCCACACGTCCCTGAGAACATGGCCTAACCTCTCTGAGCTTATGTTCTCCTGTGGACGTGATGGAGCAAACAGCACTGAGCTCACAAGTTGGCGAGAACATCGCGTAGGATCATTGTGTCAAGGGCTTAAGACAGTACCTGGCACCTAGTAAGGTCAAAAAGCTCAATCACTTAAAGTAAAAAGAAAGGAAACTAAGAATCGCTGTCACCAATTAAGTGACAAAAGACAAAAACAAGAGGTATGTGAGCATCCGAGGATTTTTCTCCACCTGGCATGATTAGCAGAGGTTCTTTGGGTGAATAATGGGGGAACTCCCCAGTCCCTGAGTTCTGGGAGAGGGTTTGGTCCAGCAGAAGAGCTAGCAACAGGGCAGAGCGGCTAATAAGCCAGACAATTTCTCCTCCTTTGGGTCTCCAGTCACTTTCCGCCCTTGCCTCACGCCTGTCCCAACCCCAAACCAGGGGGCGTGAGACGCTGGGAGAAAAGACTTCCCCGCCAGGGCCATGTGTCAATCATACCATTCAGGGCACAAACAAAGTTGATTTATCTCCCCTGGACAGCTCTTTGGACCAGAAAGCTTTGGGCTCAGCCTTGGGCACCGGGGCAGTACCCGCAGGGGAACCGCTAACCCGGAGCAAGATTCACTCGCGGGGACACCCGCCTCCCCACGCTCTCTCCTTTCTCGCCATCCCACCATAGTCCTGGACCTCAGATACCGGTCGATGCCTAAGCCCCAGCCGCTGTCCGGTTAGGGACGTTTACCCCGGTTGCTCCCGCCGACTGCAGGTCACCAAGGCACGGAGGAAGGCGTAAACAACTGAGCGCCCAGGGCACCGGCCGTCCGCCCGCGTCCTCCCACGGGGAGCGCAAGCCCCCTGCTCCCGCCCCGCAGGCCACCTCGGACGCCCAGTGCTTACCTGCCCCGGGGGGCGGGCACTGACAGTCGTGGCCTGCCCGCCGCGGCTGTTTACACCACAGACTCTGTTTACACCCGCTGAGCAGCACGGCCGAGCCGGAAGAAGCCTCCCGTGCCTGTGCGCTAACAGGCTATATTTGTAGGCGGATAATATGATCTGGAGGACATGTGCTAATCAACTATCTATCTATTCTATGTGACTCAGCCCAGCCTGAGACAAAACAGACTTCGTAGGGGAGGGCTTGGCACCCTGCGCGCTGCAGCCGGCCAGCGAGAGCCCGGGCCCGGGGACTATCTGCAGCCTCCTACCCGGGGCCAGACCTTTTCACATTGGAGATCCCGGAGGGTGTGGAATGGAAGGGAGCGGGTTCCGAGGGCTCAGCACACTAAACTGGGAACCAAGCCAGACGCAGGCTTTGAAAGCCATATGACCAAGGGAATGTAAAAGCGTTTTCGATGTTGGAAGCAGCAGACATCCAAGGTCTCAATTTCACCGTTATATTTTATATTTTTAATTTCCTAAAATGTATGTGAGCTTAGATTCTCTTTAGATAGTTTACTAATAGGGCAAATATGTTTTGCTGACAGCCGACATCGTGAAAATATGACAAATTAATAATCAGTAATCAAGTCCCTTGCTGCTCCCAGGAGTCCATGTGACCCCTTCCTGACCCTTAATGGCAATGGCTCCTCATATCCCTTAGACTAAAACTGAAAAGTACCTTTTGTGTGATATATATGTCATACTTCTAAAATTCATTTCCTTAAAAAAGCGTAATTTTCTTTTTCTTTCTTTCTTTGATTGATTGATTGATTGATTGATTTTTTGAGAGGAGTCTTCCTCTGTCGCCCAGGCTGGAGTGCAGTGGTGCGATCTCAGCTCACTGCAACCTCTGCCTCCCGGATTCAAGCGGTTCTCCTGCCTCAGCCTCCCCAGTAGCTGGGATTACAGGCGCCTGACACCACGCCCAGCTAATTTTTGTAGATACGGGGTTTCACCATGTTGGCCAGGCTGGTCTAAAATTCCTGATCTCAGGTGATCCCGCCCGCGGGCCTCCCGAAGTGCTGGGATTATAGGCGTGAGCCACGGTGCCCAGCCTTTTGAAAATAATGCTTTTTGGCCGGGCACGGTGCACGCCTGTAATCACAACACTTTGGGAGGCCAAGACAAGCGGATTACCTGAGGTCGGGAGTTTGAGACCAACCCGGCCAACATGGAGAAACCCCCTCTCTACTAAAAATACAAAATTAGCCGAGCGTAGTGGCAGGTTCCTGTAATCCCAGCTACTGGGGAGGCTGAGGCAGGAGAATCACTTGAACCCGGGAGGCAGAGGTTGCAGTGAACCGAGATCACACCATTGCACTCCAACCTGAGCAACAAGAGCGAAATTCTGTCTCAAAAAATAAAAAAAAAGGACTTTTATCTGAGAAATGCAAGGTTTTTTTTCCATTATCAGGCCCAAGGAGACATTATAATGAAACTGCACTCATGCCTACTCCCCTCTTTGAGCTATGTCTTCATCTCTTGAAATTGCTTGCTATCATCACAAGTAGCTGTAAATTAACCTAAGAGCAACACGCCAGACACTATAACCCACACCCTATAGCTAAAGGATGTATAGCCAATCACTAATCAATGTTATTTCTGTAAACCAATGAAAATTCCTAACAAATAACTTTATATCAATCCTTCTCTGTCTCCTTCTTTTACTTTTAAAAATCCACTCATTGAGCAACTGTATGCCAATAAATTGGAAAGTCTAGAAGAAATGAACAAACTTCTAGGTACATACAACCTACAAAGATTGAACCAGGAAGAAATTCAAAACCTGAACAGACCAATAACAAGTAACAAGATCAAGGTTGTAATAAAAAGTCTCCCAGTAAAGAAATGCCCAGAACCTGATGGCTTCACTGCTGAATTCTACCAAACATTTAAAGAAGAACTAATACCAATCCTACCCAAACTATTCCAGAAAATAGAGGAGGAAGGAATATTTGCAAACTCATTCTATAGGCCAGTATTACCCTGATACCAAAACCAGAGAGACACATCAAAAAGAAAAAAAAAGAAAACTACAGGTCAAAATTCATCTTTGATGAATATTGATGCAAAAATCTTCAACAACAATAATAGCAAGCCGAATTCAGCAATACATTAGAAAGATCATTCATCACAACCAAGTGGAATTTATCCCTGGGATACAAGGGTAGTTCCAACATACACAAATCAATTGACACGATACATCAGATCAACAGAATGAAGGATAAAAATCATATGATCATTTTAATTGATGCTGAAAAAGCATTGGATAAAATTCAACATTCCCTTATGATAAAAAGCCTCAAAAAAAACTGGGTATTGAAGGAACATACCTCAACATAATAAAAGCCATATATGACAGATCCACAACTGGTATCTTACTGAATGTGGAAAAAATTAAGCCTTTTTCCTAACAGCTGGAACACAGCAAGGATGCCCACTGTCACCACTGTTATTCAATATAGAACTGGAAGTCCTAGCTAGAAGAATCAGACAAGAGAAAGATATAAAGGGCATCCAAATTGGAAAGGAAGAAGTTAAATTATCTGTTTGCTAACGATATGGTCTTATATTTGGAAAAACCTAAAGACTCCACAAGAAAACTATTAGAACTGATAAACAAATTCAGTAAAGTTGCAAGAGACAAAATCAACATACAAAACCCAGCAGCAGGCTGGGCACAGTGGCTCACACCTGTAATCCCAGCACTTTGGGAGCCCAGGGCAAATGGATTGCTTGAGCCCAGGAGTTTGAGACCAGCCTGGGCAACAAGGCAAAACCCCATCTCTACAAAAAAATATAAAAATTAACCAGGCATGGTGGTGTACACCTGTAGTCCCAGCTGCTTGGGAGGCTGAGGTAGGAGGATAATCTAAGCCCAGGAGTCAGAAGTTGCAGTGAACTGAGATTGTGCCATTGCACTCCAGCCTAGGAAACAGAAACCCTGTCTCAAACAAAAAAAGAGTCAGTAGCATTTCTATATGCCAACAGTGAACAATATGAAAATGAAATTTAAAAAGTAATCCCATGTACAATAACCACACTTAAATTAAATACCTAGGAATTAACTTAACCAAAGAAGTGAAATATCTCTATAATGAAAACTGTAAGACACTGATGAAGGAAATTGAAGAAAATACCAAAAAAATGGAAAAACATTCCGTGTTCATGTGTTGGAAGAATCAATATTGCTAAAAATGTCCACACCACCCTAAGCCATCTACAGATTCAATGCAATCCCTATCAAAATACTGGACATTTTTCACAGAAATAGAAAAAAGAAATTCTAAAATTTATATGAAACCACGAAAGACCCAGAATAGCCAAAGCTACCCTAAGCAAAAAGAACAAAACTGGAGGAATCACATTATCTGACTTCAAATTATACCACAGAGCCATAGTAACCAAAACAGCATGGTACTGGCATAAAAACTGACACATAGACCAATGGAACAGGATAGAGAACCCAGAAACAAATCCACATACCTACAGAGAACTCTTTTTTGACAAAAGTACCAAGAACATACATTAGGGAAAAGAACAGTCTCTTCAATAAAAGCTGCTGGGAAAACAGAATATCCATATGCAAAAGAATTAAACTAGACCCCTATCTCTCACCACATACAAAAATCAAATCAAAATGGATTAAAGACTTAAATCTAAGACTTCAAACTATGAAACTACTACAAGAAAACATTGGGCAAAATCCCCAAGACCTTGGTCTGGGCAACACCACAACCACAGGCCACAACCACACAAATACCCCACAAACGCAGGCAACCAAAGCAAAAATGGACAAATGGGATTACATCAAGTTAAAAAGCTTCTGCACAGCAAAGGATAAAATCAACAAAGTGAAGAGACAACCCACAGAATGGGAGAAAATATTTGCAAACTACCCATCTGACAAGAGATTAATAGTAAGAATATATAAGGAGCTCAAACAACTCTATAGGAAAAAAATCTAACAATCTGATCAAAAAAGCTGGGCAAAAGATTTAAATAGACATTTCTCAAAACAAGACATACAAATGTCACACAGGCATACAAAAGGATGCTAAACATCACTGATCATCAGAGAAATGCAAATCAAAACTACAATAAGTTATCATCTCAACTCAGCTAAAATGGCATATATCTAAAAGACAGGCCATAACAAATGCTGGCAAGGACGTGGAGAAAGGGAACCCTTGCACACTGTTAGTGAGAATGCAAATTAGTACAACCACTATGGAGAACAATTTGGAAACTCCTCAAAAAACTAAAAATTGAGCTACCATATGAACCAGCAATTCCACTGCTGGGTATATATGCAAAAGAAAGGAAATCAGTATATCAGAGAGATATCTGCATTCCTGTTTGTTGCAGCGCTGTTTACAATAACTAAGATTTGAAAGCAACTTAAGTGTCCATCAGCAGATGAATGGATAAAGAAAATGTGGTACATATACACAATGGAATACTATTCGGCCATAAAAAAGAATGAGATCCAGTCATTTGCAATGACGTGGATGAAACTGGAGATGATTATATTAAGTGAAATAAGCCAGGCACTGAAAGACAAACATCCCATGTTCTCACTTATTTGTGGGATCTAAAAATCAAAGTAGGACTGCACATGGTGGCTCACGCCTATAATCCCAGCACTTTGGGAGGCCGAGTCTGGTGGATCACCTGAGGTCAGGAGTTCGAGACCAGCCTGGCCAACGTAGTGAAACCCTGTTTCCACTGAAAATACAAAAAATTAGCTGGGCATGGTGGCAGGCACCTGTAATCCCAGCTACTCAGGAGGCTGAGGCAGGAGAATCCTTTGAACCCGGGAGGTGAAGGTTGCAGTGAGCTGAGATTGTGTCATAGCACTCCAGCCTGGGAGACAAGAGCGAAACTCCATCTCAAAAAAAAAAAAAGGTTAAATCAGATTTTCCATAGTCTAACATGGTTCCCAGTAAGCACATCAAAATTATCTTGTCTTACATGTGGTAAATACTCTTAATAAGTTGCCCAGAATTCAGCCCAGAATATCAGTGGTGGTTTGGGTTACATATTTCAGATTTGTCTTTTTTTCCTTTTTTGCTGGGGGAAGAGGGTATTCTTTGTTTTATTCCTAGGATCAGGATTGGGGAAACAAGTTGTTTTCCTGTGGCGTTTCTCAAGGTTTCTCAAGGACCTTGCCCTCGCCCCACCCCCATTTTAGAAAATAGGGCTGAGATTTAATATCTCTCTGTCACAGACGTGGCTATTGGAGAAAGACTAAGCCAAAAGAAAACCAGCACAGGTAAACACTTCACTAGAGGTTGGAGAAGCTGAGGTTTCTGGAAGACCGGATTTCTGGACCTCTTACTCCAAGGGAATAAAGGATAGGGGGAAGAGTTGGTGAAAGACCAAAAAAAAAAAAAAGCAAGCAATTTGCAATACACCTTACATGGGCAAGGTGGCTCACACCTGTAATCCCAGCACTTTGGGAGGCCGAGATGGGCAGATTGCCTGAGGTTGGGAGTTTGAAACCAGCCTGGCCAACATGGTAAAATCCCGTCTCTACTAAAAATACAAAATTAGCCGGGCATGGTGGTGCATGCCTGTAATCCCAGCTACTTGGCAGGAGAATCGCTTGAACCAGGGAGGCGGAGGTTGGGGTGAGCCGAGATCATGCCATTGCACTCCAGTCTGGGCAACAAGAGCGAAACTCCGTCTAAAAAAAAAAATACAGTGATGACAAGATAAACTCCGGGGTCAGTGGGTGCCAGGACAGGGCTCTCAGAACAGCTGGAAGCTGTAGTAGGGAAGATGGTCTCAGCAAGGACTTCCCAGAGCAAATGACATTTGGGCTGAGTCTCAAAGAAGCCAATTCAAGTGCTCTGTAAGAAGGACCAGCCAGGTCATAGAAAATGAAATACAAACACCCAATAACCACAGGACACAATGTAAATCCAAGCAACAATGAAATACTACTTTTCACATACTGTATTAGCAAAACTTAAGATGCTTGCTGCAGCCAGAGTTGGTAAGTACTTGGGAGATGAGCTCTCAATACCAACTCTAGGGAGAGGGAGGGGGGGCAGTCTTCTTGGAAAATAATTTGGAAGCATCCACCCTTTAATCAAGCAATTCCAGTGCTAGAAATTTGCAAGAGGAATATGCTTTCAAGCGTTCGGCAAGATATACATACGTACAAGGAAGTTCACCACAAAACGTGGAAACATGTCATGTCTATTCATTGATAAAATCATGTATAGTATGTCTACATAGGAAGAAATATGATACAGCCCCATGGCTCACAGAAAAAAATGAAGTCCTCTCTTAAGCCCTTCTCCCTTCCTCTTACGCCATTTGTGTAACAATATGGCTCTAAAATGACTCGCTTGAGCACATCTTCCCCACTGAAATTGCAGATTTTTGAATGCAGGAATCTGTCCTTTTATGTCCCACACAGAGACCTGTGGCAAATACAGAATAGGTTTCCAGTTGGAATTTGTAAGTTTGCCAGTGAAAACAGAAAGTCATTAACTTGTTAATGAAGTGTGGCCAGGACACACTGGGTGGATAATGCTTCCGCAGGAGTGTAGCTCAGGTGTTAACAGAAGCTGTTGGGCGCTAAGCTTGACGAAATTAGAGGCCCTGACATTCCTCAGCTGGAGGGTACATATATATACAGAACTCCCCCACCTCCTCTGCTCTCTCCCATCTCTGGCCTGCCTGGATGTTCAAGGAAACAATGACAGAGGTAAGACCTAAGAGCCCTATGATAAAAGGAGGCTTTTAACCTTGAAATACTGTCATTGTACTGCAGAAATGGTGTTCTTCTGTTAACTCTTTGGTTGGAATTTAGTTCTATGTGTTCTCAACCATTTAAACAAGGTCGAATTGGCTTTTGATAGCTAAAATTGATCCCATTCTCCAAGTTTATTTTCTTCCTTGAATTTTAGGCAGACACAGGAAGTCTGTCCTTTGATTATGATGTATTTCATTCCACCATTCTTGTTTGGATGGTTTTAAGTCAAAGGCTTATTTGTGTGATTTTTAAACACAATTCTGCCCCAGTTTTTAATACACAGTGTCTCAAGGGCAGTACCAAGAAATGGTCAATACCAAGAGCATTGTTTTTTACTTTCTGTTCTCAGTGCCTTTAGTAAGGGATGAGATGGGCTGACTGTGATTGGGGAACCCCCATTGCACAGCACTTCCCAATCCTAGGCCTGACCTTTTGACACAAAGCACTCATTGGCCTGGAGGCTGGCCAGCAGCCCAGTTCCAACAGTGACCAAGCAGAGGTGACCAGTGGCCATCCTAGGGTAGTCATTCAATTTCCCTACCTGGAGGCAGCAACAACTTTTTGCAGTTAGTACAATTAGAATCAACAATTACTGTTCTTCCTCTCCAGCCTCACAGTGGGGTCACTTCTCACAGCTGTTTCTCCAGAGCCAAGCTCCAGTCTACAGGCAGCCCAGCAGTAGACATCAAATACTTGTTAAATAGCCCTTACATCTCCAGCCCAACAGCAAATATCTAACCTCTCTTAAACACCGCAGCCCTTCCTTTCCCCTTCTCCCCATCCCCCATCCCAAAACCTGGCCCAGGCTCTGACTACCCTGGATCCACTTGGCTTCCTCTGCAGTCAGTACCTATGGGGAATGGGGATCTCTTCAGGGGATTCTGGTCCTTAGAGAAGGGATTTTGTGTGGCTGAAAAGCTGGCGTCCTGGGATTCTGGTCCCATCAATGCCAACATCGCCAGACTGGAGACCTTAGTTACTTCCTCCGAAAATGCAGTGGTTTCCAGGGGTCCTATTTAAGCTCTAAAAATTCCACAAGAGCTTTAGATAAGGAAATAGCAACGCAGGGGTGTGTTCTGTTGCCAGTTCTGCCACAGGCCTGCCCAGTCTCTGAAGACAAGACATTCAAATCCCCAAATAGAACTAGTTGTCTTGTCCACAAAGTGAGACTAATATTGTGGGCGCTACTTATCTACTTAGCACCTTGGACTGGTGAGGACTGTGGTGCACAAGCTACCTTACAAATGTACCGCACTGAGTAACACCTTTACACCTCCTTGCAGCTCCAGGGCTAGCCTTCTCCTTTGCAAAGCCCTCCCCCACCTCCGGCCTCCTAGAGCTTCAGGCCATGTTCCCATGTCCCCTGTGAATCTCAGCATGGTACCTGAAGCGTTTCACCTGAAAAGACCACACAGGGAGGAGGCGAAGCACAGCAGGAATGAAATAGTCAACTGCCCTGGAGTTGGAAATGTTACTGCATCCCACCCTTGACTGGATGGGGCCTCACTCCCCCAGTACAAATTATTTTACGTTTGCTTCTCCCAAGATCATGTGTAGAAGTAAATAGCACCTCTTCCCAGCACCTGTGGATCCATGGCATCCACACAGGTAGGCACTGACGCTGAAATGGGTTCGGATGCCACCAATTCTTTCTGCCGAGGCCTAAATCCAATAAACAGAGATGGATGGAAACTATCTAATAAAAGCTTCACATTTGTGTACCTGGCAATATTAAGTAACCGTCAGGTTTTCCTTTAGAAATTGGAATTAAATGCGATTTAGAAACTACTAACGACTTTGGGCGTATTTAGTAACATATTACCCGCAGGATTGAAATGTTAGGGGAGGCGACTCCGGCTCATAGACGCGCCTCTCCATCTGGGGCGTCTGGAGCTTCGTGGAGCCACTCAATAAACACGTTTACCCCTGCAAGCGGCACATTAGAGCCCGGGGGTAACTCCCGGTGTCGTGGGGCCAGGACGGCGAGGAGCTGCAAGAGGTCGCACTGTGGGCGCTGAAGGCTGAGATAAATTCCCGTGATTGGGGACTGAAACGGCCTCCCATGCCGGACTGCCGTGGTTCTAGAACTTTTTCCTGGAACAGGCCGGCACTCCCACTGCAGAGCCCCAGCGGCTGCGCCCCTGGCCGCCCCTCCCCTCTCCCGGGCACCTGGCGCCGGCTCCCGCGTCTTTCCAGGAATTCAGGTCCGCCTGGAATTTGCACTTCAAGTCTGGAGTCCCCAAGGAACACCTCCTGAACCTGAACTTCTGTCTCAGTTTCAAGCTTCCTAGTCTTCCCCCGACACACACCTAGCTCCTCGGGCGGAGAGCACCCCTTTCTTGGCCACCCGGGTATCCCCCAGCAGGAGTACGGAGCTCAAAACTCCCGGAAAAACAAAGGTGGAAGCAAATTTCAGGAAATAAAACTTCCTGAAATAAAATATCAGACGCCTTGAGACCCATACATTTTCAGGTTTTCCTAATTAAAGCAATTACTTTCCACCACCCCTCCAACCTGGAATCACCAACTTGATTCGAGAAACTGATTCTTCTTTCTTTCTTTCTCCCCCCCACCCC